GATGGATATGTAAGTAGGATAAAAGTCTTTGAAGCTCTGGGCATTAAACCAGGATACAACACGGAACGTGCCTTACTTATAATTGATAACAAACGAATTTTTGAGGCTGAACGTATAGTAAATAAAGTATCATTGGAAGCCAGAAATAAAAGAAGGTCTTTAAAAAGGAAAACGGATAAACAGAATTTAGATGAAGAAAATGAATACCAAGCAGGGAAATATTAATCAAATCTATAATGTAAGGAGAAATTTTTTGTTAAGTTTTATTATTATATTTTCTCTCGAATGTTTAATATTTTTAAATTTAGGTACACTTTAAAAAACTATTGTAGCATATATTGTTTGAAACCTTTTATATATCTAAACAGGATACATGTGCATACAGTGAACAAAATATCTTTTAGTATGTGTCTAATTTTTTGAAAATTGATTTTATATGTAAAAAAAGAAAATTAAGATTTTCATAAATTTTAAGGTTTTATGATTATTTTTAAGAAATTATGCAATTATATATATATATATATATATATATAATTAGTTAAAAAACAGATTCATTATGTTTAATATGTTACTTTATATATATTTGTAAATTTTTTTGTATATTCAAAGAATATTTTTGTAAGAAATGGTACCTATACATGAAAATATGTATTACAAGATCTCGAAAATTATGTTCATGTTAACTAAAACAGGGAAAAAAACATATGAATTTAAAATTACTTTTGTAACTCTAGAAAATGGTTAAGGATTATTATTAGTCATATAAAAATAGGCAAGGAAATACTAATTAAGTGTATAATATGTGAACATATTGTTTTTTTTTTAGTTTTTTCACTTTTTCTCAAAAGCATATTTTTTTGCATTTAGGTACATTTTTAAAAAAAACTATTGCACTATATGATTCCTGATTTTTTATACTTCTATACAAGATGCCTATGCATATAGTGAACCTAATTTTTTTCTATTAAAATAGTGCCTAATTTTTTAAAAATTGTTTTATGCATAAAAAAGCAGAAAAATAAAAAAATTTCAAATTTCAAAGTTTCATAATTTTTTTAAAGAAACTATACTAAAATTTTACTAAAAAAAGCGTTTCACTGTATTTTATGTATTGTTTTATATATGTGTAAAAAATATTTTGCATAAAAAAGGATACTTTTTTAAAAAATGGTACCTAAACATAAGTATATATTACGAGTTCTCAAAAATTATGTATTACTTAAATTAAGAAGTAAAAAAAAACCTTTTGGAGTAAAAAGTTATTTTTGTAGTTCTACAGAATAATTAAATTATCTTTATTATAGACATAAAAAAATCTAAGCTCTATTGGAAATTTTAAATGATATATGTCTCATAAACAAAGGGTCTTAATTTTGGCATTTTACTCTTTCGAGCATGTCCTGGTTCCCTTAAAGAAGTATTTTTTGAGAATTTCGAAGGCGGGAGTGACCTGTCCCATTCTGTATATTTCTAGACAAGGAATTTTCTTATTCGTTCCTACGGAACGCAAAGCAAAGGTTCGCTGACGCGGGGGTATAGATTAGTGGTAGAGCATTCGACTGCAGATCGAGAGGTCTCCGTTTCAAAGCTGAGTTCCCCTTCTTCAGGGAAGTGAAGAGAAATATTTTCTGAGAATTTCGAAGGCGGGAATGACCTGTCCCATTCTGTATATTTCTAGACAAGGAATTTTTCGTATTCGTTCCTACGGAACGCAAAGCAAGGTTCGCTGACGCGGGGGTATAGATTAGTGGTAGAGCATTCGACTGCAGATCGAGAGGTCTCCGTTTCAAAGCTGAGTTCCCCTTCTTCAGGGAAGTAAAGAGAAATATTTTCTGAGAATTTCGAAGGCGGGAATGACCTGTCCCATTCTGTATATTTCTAGACAAGGAATTTTCGTATTCGTTCCTACGGAACGCAAAGCAAAGGTTCGCTGATGCGGGAGTATAGATTAGTGGTAGAGCATTCGACTGCAGATCGAGAGGTCTCCGTTTCAAAGCTGTGAGTTCCCCTTCTTCAGGGAAGTGAAGAGAAATATTTTCTGAGCATTTCGAAGGCGGGAATGACCTGTCCCATTCTGTATATTTCTAGACAAGGAATTTTCGTATTCGTTCCTACGGAACGCAAAGCAAAAAGGTTCGCTGACGCGGGGGTATAGATTAGTGGTAGAGCATTCGACTGCAGATCGAGAGGTCTCCGTTTCAAAGCTGAGTTCCCCTTCTTCAGGGAAGTGAAGAGAAATATTTTCTGAGAATTTCGAAGGCGGGAATGACCTGTCCCATTCTGTATATTTCTAGACAAGGAATTTTCGTATTCGTTCCTACGGAACGCAAAGCAAAGCGTTCGCTGACGCGGGGGTATAGATTAGTGGTAGAGCATTCGACTGCAGATCGAGAGGTCTCCGTTTCAAAGCTGAGTTCCCCTTCTTCAGGGAAGTGAAGAGAAATATTTTCTGAGAATTTCGAAGGCGGGAATGACCTGTCCCATTCTGTATATTTCTAGACAAGGAATTTTTCGTATTCGTTCCTACGGAACGCAAAGCAAGGTTCGCTGACGCGGGGGTATAGATTAGTGGTAGAGCATTCGACTGCAGATCGAGAGGTCTCCGTTTCAAAGCTGAGTTCCCCTTCTTCAGGGAAGTGAAGAGAAATATTTTCTGAGAATTTCGAAGGCGGGAATGACCTGTCCCATTCTGTATATTTCTAGACAAGGAATTTTCGTATTCGTTCCTACGGAACGCAAAGCAAAGGTTCGCTGATGCGGGGGTATAGATTAGTGGTAGAGCATTCGACTGCAGATCGAGAGGTCTCCGTTTCAAAGCTGAGTTCCCCTTCTTCAGGGAAGTGAAGAGAAATATTTTCTGAGAATTTCGAAGGCGGGAATGACCTGTCCCATTCTGTATATTTCTAGACAAGGAATTTTCGTATTCGTTCCTACGGAACGCAAAGCAAGGTTCGCTGACGCGGGGGTATAGATTAGTGGTAGAGCATTGGACTGCAGATCGAGAGGTCTCCGTTTCAAAGCTGAGTTCCCCTTCTTCAGGGAAGTGAAAAGAAATATTTTCTGAGAATTTCGAAGGCGGGAATGACCTGTCCCATTCTGTATATTTCTAGACAAGGAATTTTCGTATTCGTTCCTACGGAACGCAAAGCAAGGTTCGCTGACGCGGGGGTATAGATTAGTGGTAGAGCATTCTACTGCAGATCGAGAGGTCTCCGTTTCAAAGCTGAGTTCCCCTTCTTCAGGGAAGTGAAGAGAAATATTTTCTGAGAATTTCGAAGGCGGGAATGACCTGTCCCATTCTGTATATTTCTAGACAAGGAATTTTCGTATTCGTTCCTACGGAACGCAAAGCAAAGGTTCGCTGACGCGGGGGTATAGATTAGTGATACAGCATTCGACTGCAGATCGAGAGGTCTCCGTTTCAAAGCTGAGTTCCCCTTCTTCAGGGAAGTGAAGAGAAATATTTTCTGAGAATTTCGAAGGCGGGAATGACCTGTCCCATTCTGTATATTTCTAGACAAGGAATTTTCGTATTCATTCCTACGGAACGCAAAGCAAAGGTTCGCTGACGCGGGGGTATAGATTAGTGGTAGAGCATTCGACTGCAGATCGAGAGGTCTCCGTTTCAAAGCTGAGTTCCCCTTCTTTAGGGAAGTGAAAAGAAATATTTTCTGAGAATTTCGAAGGCGGGAATGACCTGTCCCATTCTGTATATTTCTAGACAAGGAATTTTCGTATTCGTTCCTACGGAACGCAAAGCAAAAAGGTTCGCTGACGCGGGGTATAGATTAGTGGTAGAGCATTCGACTGCAGATCGAGAGGTCTCCGTTTCAAAGCTGAGTTCCCCTTCTTCAGGGAAGTGAAGAGAAATATTTTCTGAGAATTTCGAAGGCGGGAATGACCTGTCCCATTCTGTATATTTCTAGACAAGGAATTTTCGTATTCGTTCCTACGGAACGCAAAGCAAAGGTTCGCTGACGCGGGGGTATAGATTAGTGGTAGAGCATTCGACTGCAGATCGAGAGGTCTCCGTTTCAAAGCTGAGTTCCCCTTCTTCAGGGAAGTGAAGAGAAATATTTTCTGAGAATTTCGAAGGCGGGAATGACCTGTCCCATTCTGTATATTTCTAGACAAGGAATTTTCGTATTCGTTTTTACGGAACGCAAAGCAAAGGTTCGCTGACGCGGGGGTATAGATTAGTGGTAGAGCATTCGACTGCAGATCGAGAGGTCTCCGTTTCAAAGCTGAGTTCCCCTTCTTCAGGGAAGTGAAAAGAAATATTTTCTGAGAATTTCGAAGGCGGGAATGACCTGTCCCATTCTGTATATTTCTAGACAAGGAATTTTCGTATTCGTTCCTACGGAATGCAAAGCAAAGGTTCGCTGACGCGGGGGTATAGATTAGTGGTAGAGCATTCGACTGCAGATCGAGAGGTCTCCGTTTCAAAGCTGAGTTCCCCTTCTTCAGGGAAGTGAAGAGAAATATTTTCTGAGAATTTCGAAGGCGGGAATGACCTGTCCCATTCTGTATATTTCTAGACAAGGAATTTTCGTATTCGTTCCTACGGAACGCAAAGCAAGGTTCGCTGACGCGGGGGTATAGATTAGTGATAGAGCATTCGACTGCAGATCGAGAGGTCTCCGTTTCAAAGCTGAGTTCCCCTTCTTCAGGGAAGTGAAGAGAAATATTTTCTGAGAATTTCGAAGGCGGGAATGACCTGTCCCATTCTGTATATTTCTAGACAAGGAATTTTCGTATTCGTTCCTACGGAACGCAAAGCAAAGGTTCGCTGACGCGGGGGTATAGATTAGTGGTAGAGCATTCGACTGCAGATGGAGAGGTCTCCGTTTCAAAGCTGAGTTCCCCTTCTTTAGGGAAGTGAAAAGAAATATTTTCTGAGAATTTCGAAGGCGGGAATGACCTGTCCCATTCTGTATATTTCTAGACAAGGAATTTTCGTATTCGTTCCTACGGAACGCAAAGCAAAGGTTCGCTGACGCGGGGGTATAGATTAGTGGTAGAGCATTCGACTGCAGATCGAGAGGTCTCCGTTTCAAAGCTGAGTTCCCCTTCTTCAGGGAAGTGAAGAGAAATATTTTCTGAGAATTTCGAAGGCGGGAATGATCTGTTCCATTCTGTATATTTCTAGAGAAAGCATGTTCGCATCCGTGACGGTTTTGCGTCACTTTCGTGACGGTGTACGCGCGCATCGTAAAAATTTACCCTCATCCTTCTTCCCAAACACCCAAAAAGAAGTATAACTTCAAAAAAGGAAGTTTTTTCTGTGGGAGTTGTATAAGTAGAAATTTTTCTTAGATTAAATTAGATGCAAATCCAATCTATCTTTTGTACGTGCTATGTACAGGTATATGTGAGTTTGTCGGGGAACAAAAAGTTCAGTTCAGACTTCATAATTTTAATTTTGAAAAATCTACTTCCTTAGAATATTTAACCCCCCCACCCCCTTCCAAGCACAGTTATCAATTCTAAATACACTCTGTCGCAAAAAAATATATGCACCCAGAAGAAATCAAGCTACAATCACGAAACTCGGCAAGAATGTAGTCTGGTAAGAGATATGCAAATGATTAAAATTTCGAAGCCAATGAGACAAGGCTAAGTGTGCTATGCGCATATTAGTTGCGCAACTGGGAGAGTTTAAAAGCATGAGTACGAGCGCCGTACGGCTATCCAAACGAATCTGATGACTTTGATAGACGATATTGAGACTTAGGATGCCTCTAAGACGTAACCGGCGGCAGTACGAGCAGCTGACGGACTTTGATAGGGGCCGTATAATAGGCCTCAGAGAAGCAGGTTGGTCGAATAGACGTATCGGCCGCCACCTCGGTCGGAGCGATATGGTAGTTGCTCGGTGTTGGCAACAGTGGATCACAGAAGGTAGAGTGTACCGTCGCGGAGGGTCAGGACGTCCCAGGAACACAAATGATCGCGAGGATCGTGCAATCAGAAGAGTGGCCACTTCGGCACCAACAACGTCGCTAGCATCGATTCAACGCCACTTACCTCCTTCCAAACATCCAGTGCCATCAAGAGAAACCATAAGGAGACGACTGACCGAAGTTGGCTTGAGGAGCCGACGTCCGCTAAGACGCTTACCACTGACCCCACATCATAGGCAGTGTCGACTGGATTTTTGCCGACCTCGGGCAACTTGGAGTGTGACAGACTGGAGACGTGTCATCTTCAGTGATGAATCCCGATTCAGTCTCAGTGCTGATGACCACCGCACACGTGTCTGGAGGCGCACCGGCCAGCGGTCCAATCCGGCATTTATTGTCGAGCGGCATACAGCAATTTCACAAGGTGTGACAGTGTGGGGAGCAATTTCTTGGGACACACGATCATCTTTAGTGGTCCTTCAAGGCACTTTGACAGCTCGCAGATACGTGGACGATATTTTAACGCCGATTGTGCTACCCATGCTATCAAGTCGCCCAGGTGCCATTTATCAACAGGATAATGCTCATCCACATACTGCGCGACTCTCCCAACAATGTCTTCAAGGATATGACGTCCTACCGTGGCCTGCCAGGTCACCAGATCTTTCGCTAATAGAGCATGTCTGGGACGCGCTGGGAAGGCAACTGCAGCCGTCCCGAGATACAGGAGAATTAACTGCGCAGATGCAAAGACTAGGGCAGGATCTTCCACAGGGGGTCATAAGTGATCTAATTGAATTGATGCCACGCCGAATTTCGGCTTGTATAGCTGCCAGAGGTGGCTTTACTACTTACTGATTTTTAACCTTTTGCAAGCTGTAACCACTTAATAAAATGATATTTTGTTCTGAATTTTTAATCATTTGTTTATTTTCATATACACTACATGCATACCAAATTTCGTGAATGTAGCTCAATTTCTTCTGGGTGCATATATTTTTTTGCGACAGAGTGTATATATAATCATAAAAAAATACAGTGTGTCAATGAAAATAAAATAGGGGCTTTTTATTTTGTTCTAAATTTAAAAATAAGATTTTTTAAAATCTCGAACCTATATAGAATTTAATTCAAATGGGTCAGCTTTTTATGAATTCAAATTGTGTATTTTTATTGAATTCATTTTGCACTATTTTTTGTTTGTTTTTTTTATTTGTTTCAATAAATAATAATATTATACCAATTTTTTAATTATGTTTTCAATTTTATTATGTAATTTTAACTACGCTAATGTGTAAGTATTTTTCATATAGTCCAGTCCCATTCCCGGGATTGAAAATATAGCACTGGATTGCAAATCTTAGCTTCGAATGAATGAAAAATTGTTTATAGGCTTTAAATATTATATCTCTATATGAAAAAAAAAGTTTTTCGTGATGCTGCAATAAATTTATTGCGTACTATCGCAACAATGCCAACGTCCAAGATAACTCGCCAAGTTGGCAACCTCAATTTCGCATTTGTCGTACGCGCTGAATTGGCAAACATGCGCTTTGTTTCATGAAATATCGCCATGCGGTTGCGATAGTGCATTGTTGCAAGCCCTCGCAGAAAAATATCGCAACGATTGCCTGGACTGAAATCATTGAATGAGTAGAAAGATGTCTCATACGAAGACTTACTAATGATCAACGGAACTAAATACCCAACTTTCCACGAAGCTGCAAGAGCTGAAGGTTTATCAATGAAGCGTTGGACGATGCAACTTCAGGGATGAATTTAGCTGAAGAGGAGCGCGAAGAACAAATTATGCGAAAAAAAAGAACATGTAAATAGAACTGCATAGTACTCGTAAATTAGTTTTATAATTTGAGCAATCAGTATAAACAGTTGTATAATTAGTACAATAGGGATCGGTCCACCGATAGTCGCACAAGGCGGGAGTACCCATAGTTTTTTTTTTAAAAAAGAAACCAATATATTTATGTTAAGAAATAGGAATGACAAATCTCGTAAAAAAGCAACAACGATGAAAACTAATTTTATTCAATAACTAGCTGGTAAACCCGTTCTTCGCACGGATGAATTTAAAAATTAAAAAATACAGACTGAAGGATAAAGAAGTTTTTAATGAGTTAATTTTACGTGAATTGTATAAATTAAACAAAAAAAAAGCTTTTACATAACTCAGCTGAACGAAAAAAACCATGTTTGCTAAATTTTAAGTCTTTAGATATAATTGCTGATTTTTTTATTATTGTTATTATTATTTATGACGCCCCGTAACTTTCTTGTGAGTCGATTTTTGAAAACACCTACCTGCTCAGCAAAAGTAACACATTGTTACAAATTTTGTGTAATAAACGCTAAAAATAGTGTAAATAATTTTTATCTGGATGTGTAATACGTTAATATTACTTTCTGATGCATTTATTTTATGTTAAATAGCTGTTACCAGCGACTTCGTCCACGTGGAATTTAACACAAAAAAGTGTTTATTCACTTCGCAGAGTTTACGAAAACTTTTCTTCTACTTTGTGAATCTATGTTTCTTTTTTTATTTTTTTTCTTTGTTTTTTGTTGAGCAAGGGGTGAAAAGGACGCATGGCCTTTGACGCTGTCCATGGGGTGAGGACTAAAATTTTTAGGATCAAAATAGGTCTAAGTAGCAAGTAGGGTAAAACGCGAACACAAACGAAGCCACAAGGAAGGGGGTGAAAGGGATGCATGACCTTTGACAATGCAGTTAAGGACTGTAAAATCATTAGGATCAAGACATGAACGGGAAATGTCGCGAATGGCAGCAACCTAATCAAAGAAAAGAGTTTGATATAACTGCTAGCAATCGTTGAGACAGAAGACGGTCGATCGCATCCACTTCAGTGCACCACTTCACGTGAGGACCGTCAAATTGTGCGCATGGCAGTAACGGATCGCTCAGTCACATCACGAACCATAGCACAGCACATTGAGTCTGTAACGTATCATTCAGTGTCTGCGCGTACCATTCGACGCCGTTTACAACCGAGTGGTCTGTCCGCAAGACGTCCATTGCTAGGTCTACCCTTGATGCAGAACCACAGACGTCTCCGCCGCCAATGGAGCGATGAAAGAAGGATGTGGGTGGCTGAATGGAATGAAGTTGTCTTTACTCATGTCACGCATTTGTCTGCAACACCACGATGGTCGGATTCGAGTCTGGAGACACCGTGGAGAGAGGATGCTGAACAGCTGCGTTATGCACCACCACACTGGTCCTGCAGCTGGTATTATGGTATGGGACGGTATTGGATATCACTCTCGCACTCCTCTAATACGCATTGCATGTACTTTAAACAGCCAGCGCTACATCTCCGAGGTGTTGGAGCCAGTTGTTCTTCCTTACCTTCAGGGCTTGGCCACAGTCATATTTCAAAAGGATAATGCGTGACCACACGTGGCACGTATTGTCCAAAGGTCCTTCGTCCATCATCAGATTGAATTGCTTCCCTGGCCAGCTCGCTTTCCGGATCTTTCGCCGATAGAAAACATGTAGTCTATGGTTGCTCAACGATTGACCCAGATCAACTTTGGCAACGTGTGGAAGCTAATTGGTCTGCTGTACCCAAAGTCTCTTTAAATCAATGCCGATGCGTGTGGCAGCGGTGATCTCCAACAATGGCGGTTACTCTGGCTACTGATTCTGGCAGGAAACACACTTCACAGAAGTCTACAAATTTAATCATTTGATACTAGGTCAACATGTTATCTACAAAATAAATTTTATATTGTGCTATCTCTTGTCTTTCTTGGTGTTGTATTTTCGGGTGCCAGCGGTGTATAAAGAAATTCTTCTCTCAAGAGATGAAATTTTTTTTCCGAATCTGAACTGCGCTGAGAGTTGATCCAAGTGTTTTTTTTTATCTGATTTTCATTAACATTTCCATATATGAAACTAAAAATTCTGCTTACTAAATAACGAATGACACTTTTTTGAATAGCCATTTTACTGATTTGTGAAATCACTTTGTTTTTACCATGGTATGTAAGGCAGTGTGGTTCTTCAGTTCTCAATTGATGCGAACATTTGTTTCTACTGTTATCAGTGCAAGTTTATCCATTGGGCGCTTGATTTAACAAGATTTCCAGGTTATAAATTTCGATCCACCCCTGCACCCGAAATGAGCTGA